ATAGATGGATAGATGGATGATAGATGGATGGATAGATGGATGGATAGATAGATGGATAGATGGATGGATAGATAGATGGATGGATAGATAGATGGATGGATGGATGGATGGATGGATAGATGGATGGATGGATAGATGGATGGATAGATGGATGGATAGATGGATAGATGGATGGATGGATAGATAGATAGATAGATAGATGGATGGATAGATGGATGATAGATGGATGGATAGATGGAGGGATAGATAGATAGATAGATAGATAGATAGATAGATGGATGGATAGATGGATGGATAGATGGATGGATGGATGGATGGATAGATGGATGGATAGATGGATAGATGGATAGATGGATGGATGGATGGATGGATGGATGGATGGATAGATAGATGGATGGATAGATGGATGGATAGATAGATAGATGGATGGATAGATGGATGGATAGATAGATGGATGGATGGATAGATAGATGGATGGATAGATGGATGGATGGATAGATAGATGGATGGATGGATAGATGGATAGATAGATGGATAGATGGATGGATAGGATGGATGGATAGATGATGGATAGATGGATGGATAGATGGATAGATGATGGATAGATGGATAGATGGATGGATGGATGGATGGATAGATGGATGGATGGATAGATGGATGATAGATGGATAGATAGATGGATGGATAGATGGATGGATAGATAGATAGATAGATAGATAGATGGATGGATAGATGGATGGATGGATGGATGGATAGATGGATGGATGCATAGATGGATGGATAGATAGATAGATAGATAGATAGATGGATGGATAGATGGATGGATAGATAGATGGATGGATAGATAGATAGATAGATAGATGGATGGATAGATGGATGGATGGATGGATGCATAGATGGATGGATAGATAGATAGATGGATAGATAGATGGAAAGATGGATGATAGATGGATGGATAGATAGATGGATAGATGGATGGATAGATAGATGGATAGATAGATGGATAGATAGATGGATGGATAGATAGATGGATAGATAGATGGATAGATAGATGGATGGATAGATGGATGGATAGATGCATGGATGGATAGATAAATGTTTGTGTTGCAGCAGCATAAAAAACACAAGGCAATGTACATAAGAGAAATTAAGACACAGAAATAAACAGTCAAATATATTTCAGAAATAAAAATAGCATTAAAAAACATACATGTGGAAATACAAATTTCCAGTAACAAATATAATGCTGGATATTATTGAGCAAGAATGGATTATTCAATATGAAATAGAACATGAATGTAAAATGTCCAGTGGGGTTTTGAGTCCAGTTATCAAGAGAAGCTATGGAGCAGACGGTTACCAAGCTCACACTTACTTCTTCTCTTCTCCTCCTTGCTTTGTGTCTTAGGACCTTCAGGAGGAGGTGGCGAAGGAGGGCGGGGAGCTTCAGAGACTCCAGAGTCAGAGATCCAAGGTCCAGGAGGCGTTAGAGGAGCTGGACCAACAGAAAGGCTCTCTGGAGGAGCAGCTCAATCATATTCGCCAGCAGACCAACCAAGAGTCCAATCTGGTGGGTTTAGGAGATGTCTCTTTTCATGGCTGCTTCTTTGATTTCGTTACTTGAATCAGAATCAGGTTTATTACCAGGTAGGAATTTGACTTGGTGTTGTGGTGCATACATCAAATAAAACAACAATTAAAAACACAGATAGAAACTATTTGAAGAAAACTATAATAACGTAAAAAAAAAATTTAAAAAAATTTAAATAGGCTTTATAAACGTAGACACTAGTGAAAAATATATTACTTTATTACCAAGGCTGGAACAGAACAGAAATATATTATATATATTACAGGGCTCGACATTATCAACGACCCGCTGGCCCGGAATCACTTTTTAGACCCCCCGGGCAAGCATAACGTACTTTCCACTTGCTAGGGCCACTAAAAATATTGCTTTAAAAAAAAAAAAATGCTCCTGTGGTCTTGGCAGTTTGACAAGCAATTTTATTACATTGTTTCATTTTTTTATGCTACAACATAGCGTTTCGTTAGGCAGTTGTTGTTGGATGACAATCAGCTGTTTTTGCTGCGCTCCTTCACTACAGACTCTAGCGCCACCTAACCATTCGCCAAAATGTTTTTAATACCAGCGGTAACCGGCCAAAAAACAATCTTCAAATAAAAGAAAGTCACCGGAGGAGTTAAAGGAGAGTGACAGGGAGTATGAGAAGAAGAGGAGAGAGAAAGTTTCAACCAGCTTGATCGATGGAGTTGGCTTCTATATGATGATATCAACAAGGTCTTTTGTCGGCTCTGTACATCAATGCTGACAAGTAAGTGAAGAGTAGAAAATATAAAGGTATTGGCTTTAGGGAAATGTCCCAGCAGTTTAGGATAATGAAGGTTCTAATCTAATCTATTACATATCTAACTCCTAATGACAGGAAGGCAGAAAGTGTATTATACAAATAATAATATTCTTAGCAGAAATGTCACCCTCCTTTTTTCTTTAACAATGACCACAATATAATAATTTTAATAAACCAAATATGAACAATTGAGGAAAATGAGGAAGAACTGATGATTCAAATGTTGTAGTACAAGTAGTAATGTAGTTTGTGCATAAATTACTATTGCAACAAATGTGTTCATTTTCTTCATTATTAGGGTGGATCT